CCAGGGCAGGAGACGCAAAGAAAAGTATGCATGTATAAAATTGCAGAATGATAAACTTACAACAGCCTTATTCATAATATCAAATAGTGCTAGATCGCAATCCTAGTAGTCAGAAGACAAAAGATTTATTCATTTTATCAGAATAAATCCAAAACAGATTTTTAGTACAGGGGAGACTTGCCTCAAGAAATCATATCCTTCATACAATTATAAAACTGGAACCCAACACTTTTTTATGCTTCTTTATAAACAAGAAGTTGCCCTTGCTTCCTGAGGGACTGATTCAAAAATTTGTTATTCATAATTTACAGCAGGGCTGTCAAACTTGCGGCCTGCAAGTCAGGTGTGCCATGCGCTGGCCACGCCCACACCCGGTTTAGCAAAGGGGGGGAAGTCCCGATAAATCATGTGACTGTGCCGTGATGACACAAGTTTGACACTCCTGTTACAGCATATAAAGGAAGAGAATAACTTTGCCATGGGATCACAGCTTCAGTCACTAAGTCACATTGAGCAGGAAGAGTAATTCTGCATTTATTCCATTTCCCTCTGAATGACAGGAGGTGACAATGGCTACCAAACTCCAGTGAATTCAAAGTGAACTCATGATCCAGGGACCCAGAAAATGGGAATACAGTAACTAATATTTAAGATATTGTTTGCTACCATCAGCAGATAAAACAGGGTTTCACTGATTCCTTTTTCTCTAAAAGTTGTCTTAACACAGGGCTAAAAGCTTGCAACCTGTAAAGTCAAATTCAACTCATCACACATGTAATCTTGCTTGCTAAAACATCCCAGGCAGGCAATAATATGAAATGGTTTATTAACTGGTTGGCTTACTAAGACACAAAATTTATAAACTTGTGTTTCTAGTAATATTTGCTCTGTGCATTCTTGTGATGATATTGTATACTCAGAGCATCTGTCAATCTGAGTGTCTGTTTTTCATTTATATTCATTAATGATTTATAATCTTTGGAAATATGCTAGCTTCACTACAAAATATCAAGAGATGACAGTTAACCCTGACATTTTCAAATGTAAAGCAAGTTCTGTTTGACAGGATTTTTTTCTTATTGTTCACTAATTAACTTGAGAATAAACCATCAGTTGCTGGGCTCTAAAAGCAAGAAGCCTAACTAAAAATGATTGAAGCTTCAGGGACAAGAATGAAATCCCCCAAAAGAACAGAGCAGCCACAATAACTAGCAAACTTGAAATGAGTGTACAAATAAAGTGCATAATGATGCATAGATCTTTAATGTAAATAAGCGCACCTGTATCATTAATGATTAGCAGAAATAAGAGTTCTGCTAACATGTATCCAGATAATGTTTGGGCCAACATCGTCATGATTTAGTGACATGAGTTCTGCCACCAAAAACATGTTGGATGATTGCACTGATATATACAAAACTGGCTATTTCAGGCTTACAGATTTGATGTCCAGCATCAGCCTTTTGATCATTGCAGGATTAGTTTGACAAGTATCTTAAAAAGTAAGATAAGAGGTGTTATTCCCTCAGCTTAGGTGCTATATTGCAATAGAATAAAAATGATTAATGCTGTCAATGCTATTCTCTGTGCTTTTACAGAGAAGAAATCCCCTTAGTTTAAAAAATGGTTTCAGCTCAGATTCAGTTTTAATCGTGAAGGCTGTTTTCAATGGCATGACAAATATCAAGATATCCACCCCAAGGTATTTTCAAACTGAAACCACAGCATTATGGCAATACCAGAAATAAAATCTGTTGTTGTTGTTTTTTAAAAAAAAAATCTAAGTACACAGAATTTACTCCAGTTCTGACACCTTTTTAATAGAAATCACTTGTTTAGGAAACAAATAGCACTTTTGTAATTTTTTTACAATGTTTCTTACCTTGATCTTATTTTAAGTAACACTAGGAAGACCTCAATATCTTTTTTCTTTTTTTAATTTAAAAAAAGTTGTTTTTCCCCAGATACAAAGATTTGCCCTTGCATAAAAAACAGTGCCCAAAACGATGACACACGGACTCACAAAGACTCACTGTATCTCACTGACACTATTACTTCTAATCTATACCATGCAAGGTCCCATCTACCTTTTTATTGGACTGTCAGCCTGAAAAAAAGAGTTTTTTATACTCCTTACATTTGTAACCAAAAGAGAAAGGAACAAAGGAAATAGGCATTTTACCTATTTGGGCAATACATTAGGGACATGTGGTGTTCTGTTTGGGATACTGTTTTTGCTGGACAAATGTACCAA